CAGCAGGGCACGGGGACACTGCGGGGAAACTGAGGCACAGGAGGAGCCCACAGAGCAGCTGAACTTAGAGCCCCGCACCAACCACCAAATAACACAGCTTAAATGTGTTTATTTCCATCCAGGCTGCTTTTTAATTTGATTATTTATCTCCCGTTTAGCCTCTGACAGATCAAAGGCTCGGCAGAGGGGAAGCAGAGCCAGGCTGCGCATGAAAATGAGCCTTGATACATAATTAATTAACATAAAACAGTTTCATTAGGAGATGGCGTTACACGGCTGTTTGTCTTAAAAATTTAAGCTGTGTAAAGAGGAGGGAAAACCCATCTTTCCCCCCCCTAAGCAGAGCACTGCCAGCTCACCCCATGCCCACATCCCAAACCCGGGATACCACGCCCCATCCTTTTCCCTTCATCACACACAGCCTCCCGTTGATTATTAATCTGTTTTTAATTCTATTAAGAGACGGCCAGGAGAAAGAGTATCAATCCTAGATTAACAAGGTTATTAGCGCTTCATTATGCGAGGTGTCTTTGTAATTGAAAAGGGAGAAAAGGAAGCGCCATAAATATCCGCAGCCTCACTGTTCCTCGGGGTTTGCGGGTGGCTCCTTTTATTCACAAGGATATGGAACCATAAATATTAAATATCTCCTGAAAAAAAAAAATAAAAGAATTACAAGGAGGAGAGAGGATGCCCTCTGGATATTCCAGCGCCGAATGTTCTTGCATTTACAAATATTCATTAACTGGGATCTGCAAAGTTATTTCCACCAAGACTCAGAACGAAGCAAGAGAGAGGGGTTATTAAAAAAAAAAATAGAGTCTAGAGTAAATATTATTAGTAATTTTTATCTCTGCGTGCCCCTAATTATTCCACAATTAAGAAAAGTGCACATGTGCATATACAATCACTAACCTGGCAGCCTTACTGGTTCTGTGCTCCTGGCACCGCTGCCAGCTGGGATGGACTCACGGTCACAGGGGACAATGTGCTGCTGGAGCCCAGGGGGTCCCATGTTGGGGTTCCTAGGGGGTCCCACACCAGTCCTATGCCTCAGCCCTGTCCTTTAGCTCCACCTCTTGGCTGTCCCAGCAACTCAGGGTGACTCACACAGCCTCCAGCCTTCACCAAGCGCCCGCCACTCAGAGCTGCTGCCATTTAGAGCAAAATTAAAATGACAAATCTGGGGCTCTTTTTAATTAAAAAAATAATAGGAGATCACAGCAGGGAAAAGTTACAATAATGAATCACCTGCCAGAACCCACTTTAGCAGAACTATTTGAGAAAAAAAAAGGGGGGGGAAAAAAAGAGCCTGGTAGTCAGAGGAAGGTGCATTTCCATCCATCCATCCATGCTGAGCACTGCACGGCTCAGGGAAGCAGCACCCGTTGGGAACCAGGCAGGAAATCACAGCATTTCAGAGGAACCACTTCCATCTGTTTCCTGGTGTGAAACACGGACAGACACACATCTCACCACCCTCCACAAACCTGCCCTGCTCATCCAGCACAGCAGTCCTCCTGCACCCCACACCATGGCCAGGGGTCACGGGGGGGCAGGTGATGTCACCCACCAGGAATTAAGCTCTTAATCTTGACTAAACACATTACTGATGAGCTCATCAACAAAAATCTAATTATTATGTGTGAGGCCAAGCTTAATTGCTTGTCCTTGACATGAATAATGCACCACGTAAGCCTATTAGCCAGTGTAAGCCTATTATTATTATTATCGTGCTCGCTGTCAAAAGTATAAAAGCAAAACAGTCGAACAGGGGGAAAAAAATAATGTTATGCAATTAGCAGCAAAATGCCAGACAAATAAGCTCATTAATTCTTGGAGGGAGCAAACTCTCCCAGTAATTAGCAACTGCCCATTTGGGGGCTGGTCAGGGGTGAAGCCTGCTGCTAGGGCAGCTCAGAGCCCAGGACTTGGGGATGGCAGAGAGCAGGGGCTGGGTGGCACGAGGGCAAGCAGGGTGCATATGGGGACAACACAGCACTGCCAACTCCAGCCAGCAGCTGTAGGTCCCCTTTCTCCCTGCCCAGACACCCTAAAAGCCACAGTTGTTGGGATGGAGGTGAATGCAAAGCTCAGTCTGCATCCCAACATCTCCCTGCCATCACCTGGAACCACACACCGGGCACAGCGACCCCCAACCCGCCCCAAACACTGCTCAGTTCCTCCGCATCATTTGCTAATTAAATCCCACTAATGAGAAAATCAGGATGCAGGAGCTGGCAGAGCAACGCTGCCTCCTGCGCACGCACTCCTCGCGGACTTATCACTCGTCACAGGATGTTTACAATAATTTTTAATTTGTGCAATTATTAATCATTTTTTCTATCTGCCTCATTTGCATAATAATTACTCTGCTTGGTGTTTGCCATGACTATGAATGACAGTGTTTTAAATTAAATTAAGATTTTAATATTCATATTTTTTTTGGTTAAAGCTAATCAAAGTTGCTGTTAAGATGCCAAGAACGGGATTGCTGCCCTTCCAGAAACAATAATCAAGAGATCCGTTTCCCAGCACCACTCACTTTGTCTCCATCACCCCTCTCATCCCAGAGGATCCCGAAGCCTTTTCCAATTTCTCTGCTGCCAGAACCGCTCACACACAGCCACGTCAGACAGCAGAGCTGAGCCAAAGCAGGACACAGAGCAAGGGCAATGGGACAAGCCATCCTCCCCCCTCCCTGGCCAACACATCTGTGTGCACAGGGTCAGCACGGGAAGGAAGGCACACACAGGGACCAACTCGTGTGCTCAGAAACTCAGGCTGGGCTCCAGGATATGCAGCACACCCCAAACACCCGTGCATCCCCAGCACACTTGTGCTGCAGCACAGCTGCATCCACACCTCGGGCATCCAGCCCTGGGCAGGGGCACCCCTCTGTGCCACAAGCACGGCCCAACCCAGTGTGCCAGCACCCTCTGCCGGCTGCCATGGCCTGGAGGGGAAGGCAGCACTCATCCTCACCCCCCTCCTGAGGTGCGGGAGCCTTCAGCAAAACGACGGCAATTTTTCTCCTCTCACTGCCCGAGTCAGACGTTTGATATACTGCACACAAAGCCGACGTCCCACACGTCAGATCCTGCAGTTGTCACAAGAGATAGCAGAGCCCAGCTCTATACTTGCAAAGAGTGGCTTTGGAGTCTGAGATACAGGGCAGAAGTATTCACACTCCTTTACTTGTCTCAGATCTTACTGTCCCCTCAGTGTCACCACCCCCTGCACCCCACCCCACTGTTCTGGTGCTGATGGGGCACTGCAAAGCAGCTCTGGGATGGAGGTGTTCCAACCCAGCCAAGCTCCCAGCCTGTTTGCAGACACGCCTGATCCATCAGCAGACAGAGAGAGGCAGCTTCCCTGTCCCTCCTGAAGCTGCAGAGCCATTTCAAAGCCCGTATGTTATTATCCACATCAGCCATCATGGCATTTGCCAATTTGTATTTGGGCAACGATACAAAAGGCTTCATTTTTAGGTGTAAATCGCATCAGCTAAGCTCTCCTGTATCTCTTCGCACAGATATATCTTAGCAAGAAAGTATCTGGCAACAAAATTTTAATACACACATTATAAATTCAGTACTGTAATGAACACTGCTATAAGGCCCCTGTGGAAGTAATGAACATCTGTACCTACATCTAAAATTATAAAACTGTAGCCTTTAAAATAAGTTGCGAGAGGCTTCAATGTTCCACTTCTTTGCAAGCTCCTGAATAGCCTTCTTGTCAGCCAACTGGGCAAAGAGCTGCTGCTCGAGCCCGTCCGACCTACAAAGCGAGACCGACAACAGGGCTTTGCACCGCCCCTGCGCTGCCATGGCAACGCGACCGGAAGTGAAGGGCGGTGCAATGACGTCGGAGGGCGGGACTTCCGCCGTTTTGTGGCGCGAAGCGATGGGCGGGGCCTCGCAGAAAGTGGGCGTGGCTCCTCGAAAAGGGGGCGTGGCCACACCGAGGGGCGGGGCTTCCCGTTCTGCCAGCACACGTGCGCCTGCATGCTGAGAACGCTTTATTGGCGTACAGCACAGCGCCCGCAGCCCCGCGATCCGGTAGCCGCACAAACAGCTTTTAAATAAACCCTCCTCCCAAAATGCCCCCCTACCAAGAGCTTCTTGCTTTCCAGGCCTACGAACCTGTTTTCTTCCCCTGGGCAGAGCCTACAGAAACCCACTCAGCACTCCAGCCCAAAACAAACCCTGACAGCCAACACACATCAAGGAAATTAAGAAAACATGCTCAAGCTGCTCAGAATACTTCAAGTCTGACTGCACACCACCTTACCTGAAGATAGCTGTTGCCTGCGGGGTCATCCATTATAAAGACAGCCTTTGTCTTCCCTTCTATTATCTGCACAAAGAGAGCAGCATGTCAATACTTCTTCTAACCCTTCACTACCTCCAGCACCAACAGATTCATGGCACTCTTCAGAGTTCTGACATCTTCCCCAGTAACAGCAATAGCTTGACAAGATGTGACAGCACAAGGGGCAAGGGTGGAACAGCTTGAAGAGGTATGGTGACACTCGCCAAGGACTTAACACGCTTCAAAGCAGCAAAAACGGTGGCAAAACCACGTTACAGTTTATTGAGACTTCAGAGGACACTTACCTCCTGCAACCTGCCAATGAACTCCTGCAGCTTTTCCGTTTTGCTTGGAGTAGAGCTGTCCCCCACAGTGAATGGGTTTCTCTCAACCTGGAAGAGCAGACACGGGCATTTACGCAGCAAGGAAGAAAGCCGGCACCAAAGCTCCTGTGCCACAGGCAGACTAAATATTAGTACAGAGGGGTCTGAGCTCTGCTGGGTGTTCAGAAGCGCCCCTCAGGCAGAGTGCAAGGACTCAAGCTGACAGCACGACCAAGTCTGACCCCCGCTGCCACCAAACCAGTGGGATACAGGAGCTGGAGACAAGGATCCACAAGTATAACTGATTCACTGTGGTGAGAAACACGCTGACAAGTAACAGTTTCTAATCAGGCACAGATCTCTGTGAAGAGCAGTTTATTCATTACTGCAATAATTGGTGCACACTCCCTACTGACAAGGGAGAAATTGCACAACCAGTCAGTGACATCCATCCCATTACACACCCTGGGTCCAATGCAGGTAAAGCCTTTCCTGGCACTCATTGTTTGAGTGTCTCAGGCTCACAATCTTCTGATACTGTTGCTACGTTACACTTCCATAAAATGCCTGTCACCAACCCATTGTCTTTGGGTATGTTCTGTGCTTTTTACAGCAATAGGAGGACAACATTCTCAACAATTAGCACACTAGTTCTGTCCTGTACCAGACTCTCCCCTACCCTATATAATTATCTTACAATGTGCCTGTGCCAATTTTACCTAGGTTGCAATGTCCCAGTCTCAACTTTACTCTGTTCAGCAGCTTTCTGTTGTGAAAGACAACTTATTCTATGTTACATACAGAAAGTCTGGAAATTTCCACTGCAAAAACACAATCTACCTCTCACACGTGGATTTCAGGATTGCTAAAACAACAGTGAATGAAAAACAGGGAAGAAAATCCCAAAGCATTCACACTCCAGAGAAAACTTTGTCATTATCCTTCTTACCCACAGCCCTCCTACTGCTTGAAAATCACTGCAAAGAGCAATACTGATGACTGCTCCCTGATCACTGCTGAAGACAAGGCATCTCCATGGAAACTGCTGCCTGCCTTTAATATGTGCTCTCTGGGATGTAAACATGAACAACTGTGTTTATTTCCAGAAGTGCTTTCTTGCAAGCAGGGATGGAGTGCAGCACTCTGCTTGGCCTCCAGCTGCAAGCCTGACCAATCTGATCACAAGAGAGAGGTGATGCTTCATGCTGAAGCGAGCCCCCAGGCAGCAGTGCTAAGGAACTGCTGAGCCATCAGCAATGCTGTCCAGAGAAGTCCGTAGGGCCTAATCCATGACCATTAGCTGCTATGAAGAAAATAATGGTCAGGGGAAACAGTTTAAATGGCCTCTGCATGTTTATTTCCACAAGAAATTAGCCCCCAAGGAGCTGCTAGAGCTTCTGAAGATTTTGCTGTCAAACATAACACTGCGTGTTGTTCTTTCAGCCTTTTCTAGGAGAGAAGCAGAGTGATGTACAGCAAACAGCTTCTTGCCACATACTGACCCACCAGGCACAGCCCCGAGAAGGGCTATGAGAAGCTCTGCTGTGCTAACTTCGCTGCAAGCCAAGGACTCCAAGAACTAGAAGGCTTAAGAGTTACACAACATTGAACAGAAGCCCTCTGGACTCACAACAAGGACATGGGGCAGATCTGACACAAGCCCAGATGTAAATCAGCTCACAGTATTGAGTTGTTTCAGAGCAAAAAACCACCCTCTGGAATAACTCGGCCATACCTGAAACCACAACTGTGTGCTGCAATAGGCCAACACACCGGATGGGGTTAACTCTCCAGGACTTAGATTCCAGCATACTTCCACCATGAAAAGAAACCTGAGATTTAGGACATTTGAAGATTTGTAAACTGCCTTCACAGGACGAAGCATTTGGCATAAAACAATTCAACACAGTTTCTACAGTTCATATAGAAAAGAAACAAGTGGGTCAGACGTCAGTGTTTGCAGCACCTCATGAGGGAACACCAGGGAGCAGAGGTATTCCTGTGGGCAGCAGCCACTGCAGCTTTGGCACTGGTCCTTTCTGGCTGGCAGGAAAGTCCTCTTCCAGCAGCTCTCCCCTAAACACAGCCTTGCTTCCTAGAGGATGGTCCACTAGGATACTGAATGCCGAGGACAGCACTTGGTCCAGGCAGGAGCCATTACTTATGGCTCTGGCAGTGGTAGCAAGCAAATCTCAATTCAGGCATGTTGTCTCACATGGTTATTTCTTCTTTCTACATGTCTTCAATGCTCCACTTGTATGCAAGCTCCTGAACCGCCTTCTTGTCAGCCATCCTGGCGAAGAACTGCTTCTCAAATCCATTGGACCTACAAAGTGAGACCAATAAGACCATGGGCTACCATGCACATTTTCTAAAGCCACAAAGCTTTCAAATGACATCATAAGTTGTCCACTACTTTTGCATCACCACCTCCAGCCCAGTTTCCACCCTGATCCGTGGCTAACAGCAGGCTGTGCCTCCCATGAGTCATGAAAAATCAGATTAGAACCTGACTCCCTTCTGTCCCAGACAAGCATGTCTCTACCACCCATTCATAACTGTTAGTAATGTAAAGGCTGAATGTGTCAAATCCCACTCACTGTAAACTCTCTGAAGCAAAAGGTCATTTAGTTGTATTATCATTCAATGATATCAGTGTATCAGGAATACCTACCTGTCCACCCCATCCCAGCGATGCCCAGGCCATATATTAAATCTGTTGAGTGGAGGTGCTGGTCCACTGTACCTAGGTTTTTCTAGAGACAGAAAGAGCAATACAACCATTTGTTATTTCAGTGCAATCTTGTGATCACGTTATCACCAACCTGGAAGGTTTACACAGACCCAAAGCACTGGCTGCCTAATAGCCAAAGAGCTCACAGTGGAAACTCCCAACAATACTTTTAAACAAACTGAAGTACGTTTACTGCCTATGTCACCAGATACTGCACTCTAAGCTACCAAATAATAGCAACGGAAACTGCTAACGGATCAATAAGAGAAGATGTTGCTGTGGCACTAAATCTAGACTAGGAGTCCTTCAGGACTCAGCTGCCACGGTGACCTAAAGCTGTTCACTGAACAGCACCAGCATTTCTATGCTCCCTGGGCTTTAAAACCCACACCAGCACAACTCCGTATCCATACCTTTCTTTTCCTTGTTCTCTTTGGCTTTCCTTTTTTTGATGAACTCAGCCATTGGGTCTCCCTCTCTCTCTTGTTCTCGCAGCATTCGATCCAGATCCTCATCATCAATGTAACGGGCCAAAGGCTTCTGCATCTCTTTTATTGCATCTTCCACATTCTGCTGCTGTTGCCTCCCCTGCGCTAATCTGAAAACAAACAAAGCTTCATCTCAAAACTACAGAATATTTACTGTGACCTGCTCAATTTGCAGTACTGACCACAATTCACTGTGTGCAACATCCCTGATAAGCACCCAGCAACAGACGGGGTAAATCCACACAAAATAACCTGGTCCCAAGCACAAAACTCATTACCAACCTTCAGCCCCCAACCCTGCAAAGTGGCATGTCACCAAAATCACCTTACCCCTTCCCCCATCTGGCATATTGTTCATCTCGCTCTGACTTTGCTTCATCTTTCTGCTTCTGTTCAAGTCTTTCCTGTTCAAGGTCCCTCTTGCGGCCTGACTTGTCACGGAAGACAGTTTCTGTGTGTCGGGATTCCTCTGGGGGGTAACAGATACCTTAAGTCATTCACGTTAGAATATATCAGTTTCCAAACCATTCAGTGACTGTCTCATACAATGAGCTCCTGAAGTAACAGTCTGCTCCTTCAGAACTTGCAGATGGGGCAAAAGCCTCACAGTTGTCTCATTGGCACTTCTTTGAAATCACCACTCAAATTTCATTTTACAGACCCAGTGGCTTTACCTATGTGAATTCATCAGCATGCTTAGATGCCAACCAACAGGGATGCTCTCCATCAACACCCTAACAACCAGCCCTCTAAGACAAGGCCTGATACAGCATTAATAGGCAGCCGAAAGCAGAGAAAGACCTGATGTTTATGCAGTGGTTTTAGACCTTTACCTTCCAAGTGCTTGCTACTTCTCTCCTGCTTTCTGAGCTCCTGCTGCTCTTTCCGTAGCACATCAGCTGACACCAAGCCAGCTTTGACCCCAGACATCATTTTGGTCTGCAAATCAAACAAGAATCACATTTACTGCTGGCTGAGAGCTGTCCAGTGATCTACAGGTATAATAAGGGGAAGTTTCAGGAGAGACAGCTGTGTTCCAAAGCCACTTTGATACCATCTTTGGGAACAGCTTCCACAGACCTCCAGAAACACGGAGCACTGAGTCAGAGCTCATCTTTCATCTACCTCACACTTTGTCTTGTTACAAATTGACAGGCCAGCACAGCTGCACTTACAAGCTATATTTCTGCTCTACCACCTGTAAGCTATTCATGCTTTTAAAGATTTCTATCAAAGGAAATAATTACAGCTCAGACAGAAAGACAAAATCCTTACCTTTTTGGGAGATCCCTTATCATCAGGGTACTGATGATGCGAGAGATCAGCGGGACTCCTTGAACCACGCTGACTCTTTCCAGAATGCAGAGCCCTTTGTGGAAGAGAGAAATTGGAGCATGAAGACTTGCTCTGAACATGCTGAAGAGGATCATACTTATGGAAATCATCGTGGAATAGACCTAACCTGTGATTCTTTCGCTCGGGGGAAAGGTCTGCCTCAGAGGCATTTTGGGTACCCCTTCGTGGAGGTGGAGAATCAGAGTCACGATGGAGCTTTTCTACGCGGGAAGCATCTGCAACACAAATACAGATTAAGAACCACTAGAGGCCTAAACATGGGGACACGAGATAACCCACAGACAAATCAAAACCTTAAATGATGACAAGCTGTAAAGAACAAGCATGTGACATCAGCCTTAAAATCCTATTCCTTCTTAAAGCGCACTGCTTGGAGACAAGGCTTAAACTTTGTTTTCATTTTGGACAACTTTTTAGGACTTACCCAGACCACTTTTAGGATAAATCTTCTCAAACCAACCAAATATAGCATTACAACAACTATTTTTATCAACAGAAGTGACAACCTATTCGCCACAATTCCATGCTTTTGGACTATACGCTCTTACACACACTCACCTTTTGTTCTACTCAGCTTTTTCTGACCTGGTGACCCAGCCTTCTTTCTCAGAGGCGGTGATGAATCTGGGTCAGAATCATACCTCTTCTTACGCTGAAGGGACAGATCTGGAGCAGTCTGCTGCTTCTGACGTGACAAAGACTTGTCAGAGGAGCTGTGCCTGAAATGAAGCTGCTCTCCTTGGATCTCTCCCAGCAGCAACTTATCTGTCATTTGACAGCCTTTTTTTCCCATTGCTGAACTGACCCTTTCAGGAGAAAGATCTGGGGAGTCGTGGCGCTGCCGTTTTGGTGGGGATAGGTCCGGGGAGTCGTGGCGCTTCCTCCTGGGAGGTGACAGATCTGGGGAGTCGTGGCGCTTCCGCCTGGGAGGAGACAGATCTGGGGAGTCGTGGCGCTTCCGCCTGGGAGGTGACAAGTCCGGGGAGTCGTGGCGCTTCCTCCTGGGAGGTGACAAGTCCGGGGAGTCGTGGCGCTTCCGCCTGGGAGGTGACAGATCTGGGGAGTCGTGGCGCTTCCGCCTGGGAGGTGACAAGTCCGGGGAGTCACGCTGTCGCTGCTTGCGAGGTAAGAGGCTGGGGGAATCATTTCTCTCTTGTCTGGAAGGGGACAAATCTGGGGAGTCATGCCGCACTCGCCTCAGTGGCAAGTTGTCTGGAGAGTCATGGCATTGTTGCCTAAGAAAGGAGGAGAAGCTTCAAATAAGAGTTAGCTTATTCATTTTCATTTCTCATCTTCAGAACAGATATCAAACTGGATCTACTGTTTGATACCAGTAGGTACCAGTAAAGGGTACCAGTAAAGCTACCAGTAAGGTAACAAAGCAGTGATCTGCATTACTGAGCCCCAGATTGCCCAAAACGGATCCCAGAAGCACTCCAAGACAACTTCGACCACAGAAAAGCTCTAACTGTATCATTTGAAGTCTTCCTTAACCCTTGTAACACTCAAAACTATAAACCCCACTCTGTGCCCTAGAACAATCACATTCCCACAAAACAACACCCCATCACACTATCTTAGTCTAAACTCTTCCTGATCACAGAACATCCCATGTAACCACCTCAGAAAAGGGGCATGTCATAACACCACCATCCTCTCTATGTTACACATCTATAGTCTGTCATCACTCCAACTGCTCTGATATCATCAAAGGATTGTGGGATAATCGCTCATGGACTTTACAGAAACCCAAACAACATGCTAACTGGAAACACTTCTCCCCCAGCCACAGCGGATTCAGCATGGAAAAAGGGATCCTCATGGAAGCTACTTCTCACACTTTGCTGCAGACCTTGAGACTGCAGAATGAGACGGATGAAAACACAAAAAAGGATCAATCAATGCTAGAGTTTGTTGCTGGACATCCATACCCTGTAGTAGGTTTGGCAGGTACTGAAATATCTGAGCTCTGAGAGTCTTCATTCTGGTCTAAAAGAAAAACAAACAGTAAGCAATCACTATTAAGGTTCTTTATAATTCCTTGTATCTTCTAATTTCACTGTTTAGAACCGCAAAAAACATTCAGGCAGAAATGACAGCAAGATCCATCCTCACCTCCTAAAAGCTTCCATTTAGCGTTTGTTCGAAATTCCTCCATGAGCTTCACTTCATCCGGACGCTCATCAATAAACTCTGCTACCTGAAGGTGAGAGAACAGACCAAACAACACAGTTTAAAAAGATAAAGAAAAGGATCTATGCCCTCTAAACAAAAGGATCAGCTATTACAGAATCACAGAACGGCCTCGGTTGCAAGGGACCTCAAGGGTCACTAATCTCCAACCCTTCTGCCACAAGCGGGACCACCAGCCTCCGCATTTCATATTAGACCAGGCTGCCCAGGACCCCATCCAACCCCAGCCTCGAACAGGGACAGGGCAACTATTCCCGCACTAGAAAGAACAGATCCACGGGTTTTGCTTGCAGCCTCACTCTCTTCCCTTCCTACATTCCCAGCCAGCACGCAGCACATTCTACAGCCATTCCTCTGCCTCACCTCGCCCGGCCGTTTTAAGGCTCTAACGGCCATCACGCAGGCCCAGCCCCGCTGTTTGTGAGCGGTTCAATAATCGCCCCACAAAACTCCTCCCCTCCAGGGGACCAGGCCGCGCTGCTCACCACGGGCACGTCGCTTTCGTCCTCCTCCTCTTCCTTCTCGGGCACAGCGGCGATGCTGCTCCAGCCCACGTCGTCATCCACGATCCGCATCCTGAGGGCGGACAGAGGGCCACCATCAGCGGAGCGCCCGCCCGAGGCCCGCAGGCCGCGCCGGGATGGGGGAAGGAGATGTAGGCCCCAGGGGAGGCCGCGACCCGTTCGGGCCGTGCCGCCCGCACTCACCCGGCTCTGCCGGAGCCGCTCGGGGGCTTCTTCTTCTTGCGGCGGCGGCGGGGCTGATCGGCGGGAGGGCCGCTGAGATAGCGCTGCAGGTACTGCGCTTTGGAGAGACCCTGCGCTGCCATGGTACCGCGACCGGAAGTGAAGGGCAGCGAAACGGCGTCGGAGGGCGGGACTTCCGCCGTTTTGTGGCGCGAAGCGATGGGCGGGGCCTCGCGGAAAGGAGCGATAAAGTGGGCGTGGCTTCAACGAAGGGGGCGTGGCCACACAGAGGGGCGGGGCTTCCCGCTCTGCCAGCACACGTGCGCCTGCATGCTGAGAACGCTTTATTGGCTTACAGCACAGCGCCCGCAGCCCCGCGATCCGGAAGCCGCACAAACAGCTTTTAAATAAACCCTCGCCCCCCGAACTGCCCCCCCCACCGGGAAGTTCTTGCTCTCCAGGCCTGCGAGCCGCTTCCAGCAGCACGGAAAGGAATGAGTTCTGCTTCAGAGCATGGAACGGCTGCTTTGCACCGTGCTGCTATCGGCCCGAGGTCGGCGCCGTCTCGTAGCCTTCAGTCTTCATGTCGTTGAGGCCCAGGTCTTCATTCTGCTCAAACGTGCGCTCATAGCGCTCCACCTGCAGCTCCGGGTCCTCCTCTGGGGCGTACACGTTCTGCAGGGAGAGAAAAGCTTCCTGCACACCGTGCCCGAGCCTCAGGCTAGAAATGCTTCAGCAGTGCTGCAGCGCTGCAGGTAGGGTTTAAATCCAACCCCAGCACTGAGGATAAGACCTGTTTTTTATGCCACAGACTCATTCAGTCCAGACAGGACAGCCAGATTCCCTGATATCACAGAGCTGACACTGCTCCCACCTCCCTTCCCACAAAGCCATAAGCAGTTTTCTTCTCCCGAGCAGAGCCTACAGAAACCCACTCAGCACTCCAGCCCAAAACAAACCCTGACAGCCAACACACATCAAGGAAATTAAGAAAACATGCTCAAGCTGCTCAGAATACTTCAAGTCTGACTGCACACCACCTTACCTGAAGATAGCTGTTGCCTGCGGGGTCATCCATTATAAAGACAGCCTTTGTCTTCCCTTCTATTATCTGCACAAAGAGAGCAGCATGTCAATACTTCTTCTAACCCTTCACTACCTCCAGCACCAACAGATTCATGGCACTCTTCAGAGTTCTGACATCTTCCCCAGTAACAGCAATAGCTTGACAAGATGTGACAGCACAAGGGGCAAGGGTGGAACAGCTTGAAGAGGTATGGTGACACTCGCCAAGGACTTAACACGCTTCAAAGCAGCAAAAACGGTGGCAAAACCACGTTACAGTTTATTGAGACTTCAGAGGACACTTACCTCCTGCAATCTGCCAATGAACTCCTGCAGCTTTTCCGTTTTGCTTGGAGTAGAGCTGTCCCCCAAAGTGAATGGGTTTCTCTCAACCTGGAAGAGCAGACACGGGCATTTATGCAGCACGGGAGAAAGCCGGCACCAAAGTTCCTGTGCCACAGGCAGACTAAACATTAGTACAGAGGGGTCTGAGCTCTGCTGGGTGTTCAGAAGCGCCCCTCAGGCAGAGTGCAAGGACTCAAGCTGACAGCACGACCAAGTCTGACCCCCGCTGCCACCAAACCAGTGGGGTACAGGAGCTGGAGACAAGGATCCACAAGTATAACTGACACACTGATGCAAAGTTAACAAGAAGCCCACAGGTGAGCGTGCTGCTCCACCTTGAAAAAAACAAGCCCTTTTGGCAGGGCTCCACTGGAAGGCAACAAGAACCACTCACCAAGTCTTTGATATCTTTCAGCAACCCTTCCAGTGTGGTGAATTTCCCTCCCAGTGCTCCCATTCCCAGCTCAAACTCCAGCTCTGGAATCTCCACGCTGCACGTTTCTGACTGCAACAGAGACCTCCACGTGAATCCTGACAGCCCCACTCCTCAGGGAACAGCCAGGTCACCGTGCACCCTCCACAGGACCCAAGGAGGGAGGGAGGGAGGGAAACACCTGAAGGCTCATTACCTTTAGGATGTCTCTTGTCATGTCTGAAGGATCTGTAATTCTAAATGTAATCCTGGTGCCTTGGGGTTCAATTGCTCCTCCAGACTTCACCTAGGAACACAGGTGGCAGTCAGCAGACAGGACTTTTGTACTTGAGTCAGGCCAGGATGCTCTTGGAGGGCCTGCCATGGCTGCTCAGCTTGCTGAGCATTGCAAAGGCTACTCCTGGCTTGGGGACAGCCCCTCAAAAGCAGGGAACATCACAGGTCTGGAGATGGATTACCCTCATTCATTACATGGAGCTTTTCCAGACACAATATTTTCTCCCTTCACAAATTTAAGGAACACAGAACGGTGGCCAGCAAGTCTGAGAAACTTCTACCCATCAAAGCACAGAAGAGATTACTCCCCAAAACCCCCACCTCCCCAAAAAAATGTCAAAAAAAATAGTTTACCTCATTTGTTCTGTGCCCACAGGAGTCACAGTTTGTGGCCATGATAATCACTTCTTTGAAGTGTGGGATTTCTGGAGCAGACAGTCAAGGAAAATTCAACAGAAGAAAAATCTAAGAGTAACCTGCAGCTTCTATTAGAAATCATTTATTTGTGCCTTATGGATGCAGCAGGAATAGGTCTAGGTGAGCTCACAAAGCAGCCCATACCCTGGCCTTTGCACAGACCCCAGTAGAAAACACCCATCTGAGCCCATGCTACCACTCAAAGGATACGCACTAGCTTCATGTTTGTGTTAGCTGGAGCATTGCACTCAGGACAGTTGGTGTTGAACTGCAGTACCTAAAGCACAGGAATGAAAAGGACAGTCAGAGAACATCAGCCAGCCCTGCAAGCCTGCCCCAAGTGCCAGTAACCTGCACAGAGCCCTCACTGCATTGCAAAAATCACCCACCTCATTCCTCAGATCCTCTGCAGAATCAGCTGGCTTCTCATCCAACTCCTCTTCCTGCAACAGAAGAAGCCAGAAGCAATATTAGCTTCTACCTGTGCCTCCTCTCTAATTCAAGGTCTCCCAGGTAGCAAAGGCTGGATTGGAGCACATCAGGGCCAGCTGGCCTTGTGCAGAAGGAAAGCTGACACCACACCACCAGCAATGGAGAGGGCAAGGCTGAGCAGTAAGGAAACACAACTCCTCCACGTACCTCAAGACCCAACATAGCAGCCTGCTGCGGAGTCCGCTTATAATAAGTGACTACAAGAGCTTCATCTTTCTGAGGCGCATGGGGATTCTCCACAAAGCTGTTCCCTGAAGGATCATCTATGATCTATAGGAGAAGAGAGCCATAGGAAGCCTTAAGAAGCCAGCCCAACTCCTCCAACAGAATGGGTCTGCACTCCTGGATATACTTACAAATGTGAAAGGGGAATGTACTTCTTTCAGCTGCTTTAACTTACTAATGAAGTCATCTATTTTACTTGCCACCTCTTTGTCTGTTGCCTGCAAGAGGACACATTTGAGACTGATATCAGGGGCAATCCAGAGCTGAAGACAACACTGCTGATAGCACAAACTGGAGCTCATGATACACTTAGCAGAGTGTAAAGCCAATAGGTGAGGGGGTTACAAAGTAAGCGTTTGCCAAACAAGCAGCTCTCAAAAGATTCCTCTTTCACAGCACCTTACCCTGCGGACAGGCTGGTCCTGCTCCAAACCCATAACAGCTCTGTCAATTATGCCTTCAATGGTGGTAAGAACTTGACAGGGAAAGAAACAGAAGCTGCATTAAGTACACCCCAGCAGTATTCCCAAACCTGATAGCTTGGCCTGACAACACACACCAATAGGAGGGCTGTTCCTCAAACACTGCCTACTACACAACAGAGGCATGCAAAGGGGCACAGGCCACATACCCACCTCCCTTCTGGGAGAAGGCAGGGATCTCAAAGTCCAGCTCTGGAATTCGAATAGTGGCACAGTCAGTCTTCACAATCTCCCTGTTCATATCCTGCACACAACAGTTCACAAGCAGCATTAGGACCAGGAGCTTCCACATCTTAAGCGTACATACTGGGGCATGCAATTCTCACAGAAGCAGCAGCAATAGTTTGAGGGCAGCTTTAGCAGCCTCCCTCTTTGCTGTGAGGCAGAAAAACAACAAACATCCCATACCAGTTTGAAGTTACACTTTCAGAGACCACCCAACACCCAAACTCCCACCTCACCCATCCACTTAGGGTGGGCAGATTCCTCACAACCTCTGCAGCTCTGGGGAGAGAACTGCAGGCATTGCTCATTGCAGACACCAGAGCAAGGGAGCTATGAGCTGACAAGATAAGTAGAACATGCAAGAAGATAATTCCTATACATACAAGTGCATCTCTAATACATATGTTTTGGGATTATTAAGTGGCTCATTGGAAAGAAAAAAATAAAAGTGATTTCTCAAACGGCACAGGAGCTTTTATTCTCAAGAGCAACACACATGAGGAATAAAGGCACACATAGGGCAGCTCTGAGGCAGCTCCCCACCTCCCTTCTGTACAGACCCAGCTGTTTGTTGAGAGGAGCCAGGACGTGCTGTTCTCACCTGCCTGGAGGCCACGGCCAGGGCACAACGCACGCCTTGCTCCTGGATGCGGCCCGCCGACTGGATCTCGGTGTTGGACCAGGAGCAGCTCTCGCAGGTAAAGGAGCTGACAATGATCTCTTTGAAGAAGGGGATCCTGGTCAGCAGGAGCCGCGTCACCCCCTGCAGCAGCGAGGAGCCCGATGGAGCCGTGGCGCGGCCTGCACGGCCCTGGGGAGCTCCGGCCCCACACAGCCCCCAGCTCCGGCCCCCCGCAGGCTTCGCTCCCCCAGCACGCCCCTACGCCCGCCCCTACGCCCGCCCCATCGCCCCCCTTTCCGCCCTCACGTTGCGGTAGCAGTTCATGCATAGGGACTCGATCTCCGCCGGCTGCTGCTCGCCATCCTCGGCGCTGAGGGGCCGGAACAAAGCAGCCCCCCCAGTGCCGGCCGCCTCCACAGCACCCAGCGCCGACATGTTGGCCGGGCCGCCCCCAACGCGCCTGCGCACCGCGCGACCACGTGACGGGGGCTGACCACGTGATGGAGAATGTGCATAATGGAGAAATGTCACGTGACGGGGGGAAATCACGCGACTTGACATATCACGTGATTGGAAACATCGCGTGACTGGAGACGATCACGTGACGGGGAAGCGGAGGGGCGGTGATGGCGGCGGAGGAGGCGAGGCCTGGTGGCTCGGAGCCTTTATTGCGCCCGGCCCCGCTCCCTGTTCCCCGCGCCCGGCCGTCAGGGCGCGTCCCCGCCGCGCTCGCTCAGGCTGTGCGACAGATCCCGCCACAGCGCGTCCAGGCTGGCCCGCAGGTCCTCTAGCGGGGCCGGGCTGCCCGCGGCTTCCTCCGGGTAGTGGGGCCGGGAGGACAGCTTCAGCCTCATGTCCTCCGTCTCCTGGTGCACGGCGCGCGTGAAGTCCTGGATCTGGAGATAGGTGTCCCTGCGGAACTCCTCGATGCGTTGCTGCACCTCGCTGGCCATCTCCTCGGCATAGCGCTCCCCAGGGCGGCTGGGGTGAAGGCTGAGCTTGGCCTTCAGCTGCTCCAGGTTGCGCTGGATGTTGCGGTGCAGATCCCGGGCGTTCTGCGTCAGCTTGGCGGACAGCTCACGGATGTGCTGGTTGAGCTGCTCCGGGCTGGCGGGGCTGTGCGGGACCACGTTCCTGTGCAGCTCCTCCACTGAGCGCTGGATCTCGCTCACCAGCCTGTCGGCGTACGGCTGGAAGATGTCCTTCACCTGGTCCGTGTGGAAGGCGATCTTATCGGCGTAGTGAGCCATGAAACGCTGCACTTCATCCACTCCGTCCAGCAGCTGAGCCGTCACGTCGCGGCTGGGAGTCAGGTGGCGCTGCAGCTCCCGTGCACGGAGGGACACCTGGTCCAGCAGCTCCTCAGTGAAGGGCTGCAGCTGAAAGCGGAGGTCTTCCAGGTGCTTGCCGACTCTGTGGTGCACATCGTCCACGTAAGGGGACAGTTTCACTCTCAGACTCTCCAGCTCCTTCCTGATGAGCTTCCGCAGGCTGTCAGAGTCGTGGTACAGCCGTGGCTGGATGCCTCTGTTGAGAGGCGCCAGCTTCTCAAGGAAGTTCCCCACGTTGCTGACCCCATCCTGGAGGCTTTCCTTCAGATTTCTGTACAAGACAGCAGACACAGTTAATAAAGCACCACTGATTTATAGGAAGGGCACAAGCTTTACATCCAGCTCCTCTCAGTGGGGTATGAGCCCCAGGAGCAGGATACTCACATGAACTCCCTGCCCAGCTTGCTGCCCTGTGCTTGCTCTAGGCTGTCCTTGTCACTGGTCAGCTGGCTGAGGTAATCCCAGAAGCCACTCTGTGCCAGCTCGGCTGGTGACACTGCAAGGAGAAGAGCAGTGGTTATTGGAGCAGCCCATAGAGCTGGAGATATACAGAGCAAAGCTTGGGAAAACACAGAGCAGATGGGGTGGTGAATGTGGGTGTGGAGTGGGGATGCTCTTGGGCATCATCACGTGTTCTACCAGTTCTGTGTTACCTGGGAAGCCACCCCTGAAGTGGCTGAGGAACGTGGCTGCTGGGGCTTTGTGCTCCTGCAGGACCCTGTGCCCACAGCAGCCACCAGCTGCCCTGCTGATGACTCACTCTGAGTCACGAGGTGGTGTGAGGATGGGAGCAGGTCAGCACACGGCGGTCATGGCACAGGTTCAAGGGAACTCAGAAACCCATCACGGGGCCAGAGCAGCTGTGCCATGTGAGCGTGGCCACCTCTGCTCTGCGGTGGCTGTTGCCAGAGCTCCCCCATACCCTTTTTCCACCCCATCCCCGTGCCACCAGGCAGCCTGGAGCCACGCAGACACCAACCTGGCAGGGTGGCCAGGAGGGTGAGCAGAAGCGCAGCCTTCAGTGACATGATCTGCTGGGCCAGCAAGCTGCAACACTATAGGATAAAGAGAGAAGGTGAGCATTAATTCATGCCACGGTGCAGGTCTCTGTCCCATGGGCCATCCGTCCCTATGTTTCACTCCCCAATTTTACCTCACTTCTGGGGTCGGGAGTAGTGCTGCTCCTGTGTGGGGCTGCCCAGCGAGGTCAGACACGTTCTGCCAGAGGCCAGGTGTCCCCAGTATGGGGAGCACAGCGAGGCTGCACCTCTGCCCTGCACCTGGCTGCTGTCACCTCTTGCTTCAGCCAGGCACGGGCTCACTTTATATACCCATCTGCGGGCGGCAGAAGAGCTTGGAGATAAGCGCATCCACAGGGGTAGGCTTTTTGGACCTCACTCCATGTAAATACAACGTGGAGGTTCAGCAGCATGCCTGGGGGATGACGTGAGTGCCCATCACCTGACTGCTGCACGTGCCCTGCACCAGCTGGACTGCAGCCATCCAGCCTGACCTTAACCCCTAGGACTGAGTGAGCCCTCCCCGCTCCCCCAGCATCTCCCAGTAGGCAGATTATTGGTGTGTTGGTGTGTGTTGTTGTCCCAGCGATAATGGGCCCTCACTGTTTGCTCTGTGGGCTTCTCGGGATGGAGCTGACCTTTGCTCCCATCTGACCTTTGTATCACGGAGCAAAATCCTTGTGTGGGGGGTGAGGGGTCTGTTGTGTGGAGAATGGGAAAGCAGAGCAGGGACTGCCCAGGCCAGAGAGCGCTCCTGGGATGTGGGCTGGTTGATTGCAAATTGTGAGCAACTACTTCCCTACAAAATGCCAAAGGCTCCGTGGCTTTGTGTATTTCTTTTACCATTTTTCCTCCAGTGCTCTCGGTGCAGGTCTTGGACCCCCTGCTCTGAGCAGAAGAGTGTCCAGTGCACAGGCTGCTGTGTGCTCCTGCCTGGCTGCTGACTCCGGGCTTTGAAATATTTGCTCTGAAGCAACCCAGCAAACAGGGGCAAGAGTAGACCTGCTGGAACCAGGCACCTCCAGCACTGCTTCCATCCAAATGATGCTGGGGCTGGGGGCCAAAGTCCGGCCTTGTTCCCTGCTCTATGCAAACACCACTGCATGTGGGGTCACCTCTGGGGGTACTCTGCCAATGCGCAGTGCCCCATCGTGTGACACCCATCCTCAGTGGACTCTGGGGCTGGGGGCCGGGGTCCTGCTGGGGACAAGGGGCTGAAGCAGGGCAGTGTAGAGCTGCAGAGTGCCTGAAAGGGTTGGGGTTTTGCTAAGGCCCAGCCTGGGGAGTGGGGTGCTCAGGTTTATGCCTTCACCTCCAGAGCCCCAAGCAAGCCCATGTACCACCCAGACTATGATGTGGTGACATCCCAGGCTTCAGTTCAGGCTCCCTGAGACTCAAATTTGGAGGTCACTTGGAGGCCAGGACGGCTGCAGAAGGACAAACACAGGCCACGGGGTGCATCACAAAGTGCCAGTTTATTTCTGCCACAGCGAGAAGCTGTGAGTGCTCTGAGTGCCAGCGAGGGCTCAGCTCTCTGCCTGCTCTGTGGTGCTGAGGAAGGTGGCCACCTTCTCCCGCACCTCCTTCTCCAAAAGGTCCAGGTGATCCTCCACACCAGCAGTGCCCGAGTCCAGCTTCTGCTTCATCTCCTCCAGCCGTTGCACCAGCTGCTGCCGGAAGGACTCGCTGATGGGTGCTGCTTGCTTCCGGAACGCCTCCACTGCCTGTGCCAGGCGTTCATCCAGCTGCTGTGCCAGCGGGGCCAGCCGCTGCCGCACGGCCTCAGCATCTCCACTCAGCACCTGCTGCAGCTCCTGGGCCAGCGGGCTGAGCTGGGTACGCATCTCCTCCGAGCTGGCAGCCAGGCGGGAGCGCAGCTCCTCTGCTGCCCTCTCCATCTGCATCGTGAGGCTCTCCAGCTGCCGGTTGAGGCCGTCCTGCACCTCCTGGGCGTAAGGGCTGAGCCCCTTGCGCAGCCCCTCCACGCTCTGTGCCACCTGCTCCTTCAGCTCGTCGGCCAGCGGCGTCAGCTGCCCCTTCAGCCCCTCCACGCTGCTGTCGATCTGCTGCTGCAGCCGCTCGGCGTAGGGACCCAGAGAGGCCTGGATGCTGTCGGCGTTGTCCTGCAGCCGCTCCCGCAGCTCGGTGGCAAAGGGCTCCAGCGCCCGCCGCAGCTCCCCAGTGCTGCGGTCCACCTGCGAGCGCAGCTCGTCGGCGTAGGGGCTCAGCTTGGCCTGCAGCTCACGGATGTTGGTGCCGATCTGCTGGTGCACCTCGTCGGCGTAGGGAGCCAGCTTGGCCTGCAGCTCGGCCAGCTCGCGCTGGATCTGCTCCTTCAGCCGCTGTGAGTCCTGCGCCAGCTGTGCCTGCAGCTCCGTGGCAAAGGGCACCAGGCGCCGCTGCAGCTCCTCAGCATAGGAGTTCATGCTCTGCAGGTTGCTCTGCAGCAGGGTGCTGTGGAAGGTGGGCGATCAGTGCTCTGTGTCCAACACCCAGTGCCCAGAGCCCAGCGCCGGGTGCCCTGCATCCAACATTCAGCACCCATCTCCCTGCACTCTGCACCCTGCACCCACCCCCACCCACAGCCCCAGTGCCTCGGTGGTCCCTCCGCTCACTTGAGCTGCTTGGTGATCTCAGCTTGCTGCAGTTGGTCCACGGTCTCCTTGGCATTGCTGCCCAGCTCGGTGAAGTACTTCCAGAGTACAGTGGCCACCTGGTCGGGGCTGACGTCGGCCTGTGTCCCTGCAGGCACACAGGCAAGGGGTCAGAGCTGCCTCCATCCCACCCCGAGGCACAGCCACGTGCTCAGCCCCACCATCCCTCTACAGGACGGGACCCCACGCCGCCTCACCTGCCACAGCCAGGAGCACCAAGAGGAGGGCAGCCACTTTCAGCGACATCCTGAGTGCTGCCAGCAGGGCTCCTTGTGCTGCTGCGAGTTGTGGGACGTGCTGTGCCGGCAGCACCTGCTGCTATTTATGCATCCGAGCAGCCACGCCGGCTTCCACGCAGGCCTGCACCGCAGCTTGGACTTTAGCAAGGTCGCGACGTGGAAGCGCCTGACGTGTGCGAAGAGCTGAGATCACCGCGGCGCCCGGCGGGGTGCCAGGGATCAGCACTGCCAGGGTGCGTGGGTATGGCCTGCAGGGGGGGGGCACAAGGGGCTGAGACCCTATTGGGGCAGGGAGGGGACAGAATGGGAATGGAGGCAGGAGAGGACGTGTCACGCTGAGGCACAGTGTGTGGCTGCTTGGTGATGGCGAGGTGCAGGGAGCCACGGCTGTGGCCCCATCTCTGGGTGTTTGGGGTTGAGGACACAGCCTGGGCACTGCCACCCATCCCCCTGCTTTTGCAGCCCCCACCCCAAGCAGAGCCATCCCTGCAGCATCCCATGCTTGCAGTGGATGCCACTGGATGTCACCCTTGTGCTGTGTGTGCCCATGCCGGCCCCACGCCTGTCCCCACAGCCACCCTCACCCCACACACGTGTGTGCACACACATGCACAGCCCCCAGCCTTGGCCCCTGGGGATTTCTCAACCCCTGCTGAGGGAGAAGAGGAGCCCATCCAGAGCAAACCTGGCAATGGGGAAAGGGCTCCGAGGCTGGGCCCCCTCCCTGCGGCCGCACCACCACTGACCTTTGCACAAGCGGCCGTTGGAGAGGATATAAAGTCAGAACTTGGGGCAGCCCCCACTGAGCAAAGCCAAAGCACAGCGTGGCCAGGTGAGTGTGGGGCTCGCAGGACCGGGACCGACACCAAGGACCAGGGGATGGAGCCGGGTGCCACACCTGACCCCACACCACTGCTCTGCTCTCTCCCCAGCCATGAAGGTCTCCATCCTGCTCCTGCTCATCTGCACGGCCATCCTGGCGGTGGGAGCACGTAAGGGTGATGGGAAGTGAGGGGACAATGGGGTTTGTGGTGCACCATGCCCACGCTCTTTGTGCTTGCAGGAGCTGATGCTCCCGATAAGACGGACGTGGTGGTGAAGAAGGTGCAGGAGTACGTCAAGCAAGCCACTGAGGCAGTCAAGACGGCCTTCACCACAGTGCATGAGTCAGAGGCAGCTCAGCAAGCCAGGTGCCACCACGTGCCCCACCAGCACCCTGTACCCCACCGATCCCCAGTGTGCCCCTGGTGATGGGGATGGCACGGGGCAGGGGGAGAGGAGCTGAGCATTGCCAGACCCCTCTCTGACGTGGTCCCTTTGCAGGAGGTGGCTGTCAGACAATGCCAACCTGGTGAAGCAGCAGCTGGCACGGCTGAAGGAGCAGCTGGCTGAACTCTGGAAGCTGACGCCGACCGCGTAGCCCGGCTGTGGGCTGGTGGGGGCTGACTGGGTGCGGGTCCTGTCCCCCATCCCACACACAGCACCATTTTCCTTTTGTTGTGGTTCTTGAAATAAAGTGGAGCTGGAGTGAGATGGCTGTGTCACTGCAGTGG